AAATATGGAGGGATTAAGATCATCACCTTTGAACAAAACCATGGCACAGCCAGGGAAGCCACCACCACTCCATGTTGTAACCCCAAAGAAGCAGGCTTTGATCAATGCAGTTGGTGGATCACCCAACTACATGAAGTCCACCAACAGCTCAGAGGCAAAGAAGGAGAATTCTCAAGTGAGTTCTTGGAATTCAGATAGAAAGAATCTGGGTTGACGAAAGTCAACCACTCCAAAGCTTGGTTTTGTTTCCAATAATAAATCTGCAAGGACTCTAGCAAAGACATGTAGCTTCAAGTTGGTGAGGTCTTTAACAAAGACTCCTAACTTTAAGCCGGCAAGACCTTCAGCCAAAAAATGTTCTAGAGTTGTTCTATGTGTAGATATGAATGCACAGAAGGCTACCTGTTCTTCAACTCTCAAGGACTCAAAGTTTCCCCCTTATATCATGCTTAATCCTGGGGGTATCGAGTCTGAAGGAACTTCAGTTATGAAGTGTTTGTGCAGCTTCGTGATCCAACATTGTTGAAGCCTTCAGCTGCTTCCACACCTGAAGGGTGTTTGCTCAGGAAAACACTCCGATACTCAAGTCAGCAATATTCAATATTCTAGAGAGAGATGTTCTCAGAGAGTAATTGCAGAAAGAGAGATGTAGAAGAGTTCATACCTTGCATGGAGGTAGTTAGGGGTATTTATAGCCCCATATGCTGACATGAGTTCAGACATGTGTTCATCCAATTGGTCCACGTGTTACTGTCCACGTGGGTATGTCTCCTCATCTTGGGCCTATGAGTGTATAACTGGGCCTGCTGCATGTGGCCCGAAACGGGTGTTGGGCCTAATCCCAACATGAAGGTTTGCCCGTATACTTACTGCTCTCTTAATGGTTATCACCACACTCCTATGCAACCATTGGAGTGCTTCTTATATGCAAGGAGACGTTCATTGAAGATCCAGAGAAATATGAAGCTGGAAGCTTTGAGTTCACATAGAGCAAAGCCTTTTGTTGATGGGAAAGAAAAAAATGGCATAGAGTAGTTCTCTGATGAAAAATTTGCCCTGTCTCCTTGGGGAGAGGGAGGCATGGCTATCTTCATTAAAATATATGCCAAGAAAAAGGGAAGTGTTGCTGAGGCAAATGAAGGAACCACACACAAGGACTTGGAGAGTACCATAGAATCTGAAGAGAACAAGTTCTTTTCTGGAGGTATTGATGGAGGAGCACTAAGAGAAGATGGTAAACAAGTTTTAGATAATCTATCTGAAGGCACACCACATTCTGAAATCGATTTTGATGAAATTAATTCAAAAATGAAGAATGATGCAGATGACTATTCATTACCAATTTTGGCTAGAGAAGTATCAACTACAAGGAGCCTTAAAAATGCTTATGACTTTGAAGGAGAATGTCATTTAAGAATTGAAACAGACGATAACTTTGCCATGAGCATGGAGTAGGACAGAGAACAATTTTCTGCTTCAAAATTTGACTATGAAGCCCATTCTCCCATGGAGATAGACGGTAAATTTCATTTCAGAATTGAAGGTTTATTAGAAGAACCCAAGATCAGCTTAAATGACAAAATAAACAATCCTAGTAAGAAGATTTTGTTTGATGGAGTGGTAGAGCAAGAAGACTCTAAAAAAGATAGTGCACATAATGATTACTTTAGCCAAGTTTCATGCACATTGGATTGTGAACAAGTTTCCTCTACAAAAGATGTTTTTGATGCATCAGCAGCAATGGAGGAGGAAGAAGAAGCTCAAGAATACTTAATTGGCATCATGATCATTGCAGATTTGACAAAGGTGCAACTACTTGAGGAGAAAGTATGGGAGAATGAAGTTGTTAAAACAGATAAAATGTTACCTAAGCTGCTAAAAACAATGGTACAACTAAAGATACTGATGAAGCCTTTAATAGAATTGACGACATCCAACTTCATTCATTTGAAGAGACAGAGCAGAAAGAAATAAATAGAGATTATAATGGAATTCAAAAGCCAGAGGATTATAATCTCAATCTAGCAGAGGAACTTCCTGGTGCAAAGGATGGAGCTGGAATGGAAAAGGAGGTAGCTGAAACTGAGCTGTTTGCTAGGAACCAAATTTCTGACTCATCCCAAAATTTCTCTAGAGCTGATGAAATTGATGATGAGGTGGATAACAACCAATATAATAAGAAGGTAGAAGCTTGCCCAGTTGATAACAATGTTGAAGAAAGATATTCAATTCAAGATATTGCAAATGAAAGCCATTCTGCCAGGAGTCAAGATCATGTGTTAGATGGCCAAGGCCAACATGAGAGCACAAATGTTGTAGAGAATACAGGTTTCTTGGAGAAAGGTCAGGACAAAGCAAAGGAATGTAAAATACCAAGTTCCATGGAATTTGACAAGGAGAAGAATTCAAGGATGCATAAAATCCATTTAGTTGAAGAAAGTACAAAACCTGAGAAAATGGAAGCTGAAGCAAGTAATGGATCAGATGTAGTAGAAATATTTGGCACAGCAAGTGATATAAGCAACCAAGAATTAGAAAGCACACTCTCCCTCATAGGAAGCAAAATGAGCCAAGAACTGCTTGGAACCTATAAATACAGAAAATGGACAATCACATACAAGAGGCAACATGAGAATTCAGAGGGGCAAAGCAAATTCAACCCACGAGAACCAAATTTCTTGCCTATTGTTCCAGAACCAGATGTAGAAAAAGTTGATCTCAAGCATCAGATGATTGATGAAAGGAAAAATTCAAAGGAGTGGATGTTGGATTATGCACGCAGACGGGCTGTAACAAGACCTGCTCCAGCTAGAAAGACTGAAAGAGGAAGGTGGCATTACTTGTTGAAGCTTTTGAAATAGTTATGGCAGCACCTTTTGTTCATGGAAGACTCATTCAAGCTTGTAGTTGATGCAGGTTGTTCAGGTAATTTAAAATAGCATCACTATTTTCTGCTCACAGATTCCATTACCATTACTGGATTATGCGAATGAAATTTTTAATAGATGTATTATTGTATCAGTACATAGAAATCCAATGGACAACTAAAAAACAAAGCCATCCACTTCTCACATTTATACAGATATCAAGAAAGAAAGCAACTCAGGTGGATAATATCTATATTAAGTCATTCAAGTATAAGGCATCATGGTAGCAAGCCGAGTCCTGTGTTTTTGGAGTAAACTACAAGCTCAATACAGCGACTAACTTGACTGTTAACAAGTGTTGAGAAGACCGGCAAACATAGCAGATTGAAATAGTGGAATGGACATTGAACCATAAGTTCTACTGCTTTCTCCTAGATTACGTAGTTGAGCTTAACTACAAAATCATGTCCAGTACAATTTAGGATACTAGGACAGTATATTTATGTTGTTAAAGTTTCTTCACCTGGTTCATATATTATCATTTTGCAGTGTATGGAGCAATTTTTACTTCAGTTGTGTTATGCACTGATAAATCTTTGCAGTCAAGTTTATATTTTATCTAATGCCCAGCATCAATAATTTACCAAACAATCATGAACAAGACCACAAACTGCAAGGATTTGATCTACTCGTAAATAAGTGTCATATTTAGAATCTTGGGTAACCCAAACAAATTAGTTTTCTTAAATGCACAAGTTTGATATGTGGGAATCCAACAAGACCTTAAACAAACCAAATACCATCCCTCACACATTACTTAATTTAAACTGGGGGGAATCGAACCCACATTTTACAGATGAGATGGTGGAGATCATCATCATTCTCCATACACAAGGATGGGGAGGGTAGGATGCGGTGCAGTTCCCCTGTTGCCTTTCTTCACCAATCACCATAGCAATAAGCTTCTTCGATTTAACAATGGAACTCTCATATTCCTTTCTCTCTCTTTCTCTCCCAACCCTTTTCTTTTCTGAATGAGGTCAACTTTTCGTCCATCCGTCCTCGACGGCGGCCGCCACCTCACCCTTCCACCGGTAAAAGGGGAAAACCCGATTTAGCCCTCGGCTGAGTCACATATTCTCAATTAAACTCTAGTTTAATTATAATTAATTTGTTTAATTACAATAAATAATAAAAGCCCTTGACAACTACCTGTGTAATTGTTAAAATATTTTTAAAAGTTATTAAAAATATTTAATTTATTATTATTATTTTAGAATTTTGTTGATGTTATTTATACAAACAAGTGAAATAATTATTTTTTACTTTTTAAACTACTTCTTCTTGTATGTTATATTCGAATTCAAAGTTTTTTATTTTAAAAAATAAAAAAATTATTAATGAGTTAATTAAATTTATTAACTATTTTTTTAGCATTTTAATTTGCAGTAAGTCTGATTTTCTTCAATTACATAATTTAAAATCAATAATATCGATAATAAGGTTTATGTGGGGAAAAATTTTACTTACTTTGGGCGGATCCGACCTGATGCTTCTTTCGTCTAGTTGTGTAAATTTCCAAGTCGAGTGCTGCTGCCTCGCCTCCGGCTGGCTGACCTCTCCGGTGGCTGTCTCCTCAAAACCTGCTCTGCCCCGCCCCGAAGCCAGCCCTAACTTTAGGTTTCGAAAGGTAAGTCTACTTACTCGTCCAAGAAATATCTTTTCTCGTCTTTTTTTCAGTCTAATTTTTAGATTTATGTGGCCAGTGATTTTTAGTGCTATGGAACCTAAACCTGAGTTCGCTAAGGATGAAGTTAAAGGTCTGTTGGAAAGCATCGCATCCACTGGGAAATTTTGGTATGCCTTTTTGTTAATCTCAAATTTTTCCTCATCATGTGCTAGCTGCATACTGTATTTCGCAGATAATGAATTGCTTCTGTGATGAATTTGGATCATGTATAATGTATCACCACCTGGGAGTCTCGAGATCTTGGAGTAGTTCACATTCTCTAATAGCTCTAGGGATCATGTAACTCGGAAGGCACTTGTTGTTTATATGCCTGTATGCTGATGAGTAAGATAAAACAATTTCAGAGTCTGAATGTATATTTTGATATAATTAGTCTATACTGAACTGCAGGCTTGATTGGGACAAGCTGAAGAGTATGCTATCCTTTCAGCTGAAGCAGGTATAGAGGTCTCTAGTTTTTTCACTATGTATGCCCACTCTTGATTGATTTGAGTTTTTTAGCAAAATTGCATGATTGTGTTATGTTTTGGGTCATTGATTTGTAACTTAATGGTTGGCTGTGTTGTCCTGGTCTTATTATTGTTCTTTTGTTGTGGATTATCGAGATTGTGCTTATTTCTTTTTTCTAATTAATCATCAAGGTTTTGTCTGAGTATCCTGAGGCAAAAATGACTGCAGAGCAGCAAAATGCTTCATTAGGAGGAACTTTTGAAGATCTTGTGAAACGATTGGATGAAGGTACTTTCCAAATGATATGTTGCTTTTCTTAGCCTATTCTGATGCAAGTCAATAAATGGAAATCAAGAATTCTATATAATTATAGGAGTTAAAATAAGCTGCTAACTAGAAAACAAAGAAATCAAAGGATTGTAGGATTCTATATTTTGTTTTACTTTTTGTAATTTTGGAATAGATATGTTTTGTTAATGTGAAGTATCTACAACACACTTTTCCTGTGCTGCAGAGCTACATGCTTTTATTGAAGGACCCCCCTTCACTCTTCAGAGAATCTGTGAGGTGATTCTTCTTGAATTGCTTTCCTTATAATTTTATTGTTAATGCTAATCTGTGAGTGATTTGTCAGAGGGCTCTGACCATTTTCATCTTAGTATTTACTGTTGTTTGATATATCCTAGATTAGTGATATTGTGTTCAGTTAGACACTGTGCTTGTCCGTATGTAACTAACAAATTCTAATGTTACATGCTAAATGGTATTGTCTATTTAGTGCTTTTTTCAAATCCTGAGGGAAACAACTTTTAACCATTTCCCTGGGGAGTGAAGATCAAGGTAATGTAGTTGCTTCAACATGTAAAAGGAAATCATAATGAAAACATCCTTTTGCCCTCTATTAAGAATTATTGTCTCTGTTATGCTCTCACTTCTCTGGTTTTTATCTCCTAGGCCCACTATTATTTCTTAATTAGTGCCAGAAGACCAGAACAATTGAGAGAAGCCTGACAACTCCTGTGGAAGTCTATAATAATTGAATTTGAATAATAAGCCATAATTAAAGTCAATTTATCATCATATAATAGCAAGCACAGTTGGCTTACCCAATTACATAATTTTAGAGTTGTTTAGCTCAAAATTAATTCAATGCACTGATTGTTATAGTTTAGAATCTGTATCTTCAGTAGGCTCTAACTCTTTTTGCATAGGTAAGTCACAGCAATTTAGTGCACTTGTCCCTTTACATCCTGAGAGTTTTCTGTTTGCTTCACCTTCCAAAAATTACTGGCATCTTCCAGTTGACTGATTTATGTAATCATAAGTTCATTACAAAATGCATGGAAGGACAAATTTTCCAAGACTATGCTTCTCTATTGACTGCATATGTATTTGCTTGTGTCTTAAATTCATTCACCATTTCCTAATTTCATCTTGAACAGATCATATTAGCAGCAAGAAGCATCTATCCAAATCTCTCAAAGCTTGCTCTAGCACTAGAAAAGGTATGGAAAATAGAAACTTCATCATGGTAATTTTTAATTATTCTACTTGGTCATGGCAATCAATGTGTTCTAATTTGCTCTTGAATTGACTGGTTTCTAGCACTTCTTTGCTTCACTAGGATGGGAATTTGTTTGGGCAATGGTGAACACATTACTTCATATATTTCTGATTCATGCCTCATGGTTTCCCTCCCCTCATCCTTTCTTGTTTGGTTGCTGAGCGGTAGTTTTTCAGAATAGGATATTAACTGAAGCTCTGTTGCTCATAAACTTCAAACAGGCTATGCTTTAACCTCATGTTACATTTATTACGTGCATTGTTTCAAGTCTGTCATATACATGTCAGGGGTCTCCCAAAGATCATCATGATCTGCCTTTGAAAAGTAATTGATGGATTGTTAGAAGAAAGCCCAAAGGCAAATTCATTTTAAAAGATTTAATAGAAGTGCAAATTCTCCTTTTTTTTTCTTTTTTTTTTTCTCTTATCCTTTTCATTGATGCTAGACAAGGCCACTATTCCTTCTTGTAGAATTTACTGGTAACCTCTACAATAACTGCCTGCTCTGATCCATATCCACAAACAACAATACCCAATCCCAGTGAACAAGACAAAGCAAGTGAAGAACTACAGCCGCCGCTGCCACCACTGCCACCACCACAGTCCGAGTCAATACAAAACGGAGTTGAACCCACAGTAGATAGGGATGAGATAATGACAGAGGTAGAGGAGACTGAAATTGATCATGATATGAGCATAGACATGGATAGCTTCCAAGAAATGGTCGAATCATCAGAAACCAATTCCACACCAGCCGGGAATTCTTAGGTTGGCAGTCTGCCTGCTCCATCTTTCAAACCTAAACACTTCAAAAGGAACCAGATGTTGCCTTTCAGATTTGAAGATTTGAGTCTCGTTTAACATTATGGCTTTGCAGGGCAATTCATCTACCCTTTTGTATTCTGATCCAGAGTCAGGGAACCTTAAAGATGGCAGTGGTAAGTAATTGCTCTAAACTGTATGAATAACACTGGAATTCTTTTTCTTTGCCATTTAGTTAAAAAGTTCGAGTTTTCTGTTGCTTGCAAATTTCATGCACATGGGGTCCAATTATGGAAAGCATCCCATCAGAAAGTTAAATTTCCCAATGGTATTTGGAAAGCAAAGATAACAAGAAATCCAGAATAAAATTTCCAATTTGATGTATGGTTGGTGTGTGCTTTTGGTTTTTCAATTGGCTGCAGCTGTATTGTTTTCCGGTATGTGTTAAATCAATTACTAGTCCCGTGTGATAAACGCCTTTAATCTTACGTAAAGTATTTTGCAATATGATATGATAATGACAAATGCATAACTGTCATTAATGAGGAAAGGGCTCTCTGATTATGAGGCCTTCCTCAAAGTCGTCGGTCGGTAATTTGTTTAGTACGAACCACAAAATAGAATTTTCTTGATCTTATATTTAAATATAAAAAATTATTTTATAATTTAGGTTATATAAATTTGTAAAACAGTAAATTTTTTTTGAACAGTGTGAAATCTTTTTTTTTTGGAGAAGGGGGAATGGGAGATTTGAGATTTGATCCCTAATTCTTTTAGTTCTAAGCACGTTCGGCATGAAGGTGGTCATTGAGCTACCAAGTGCTGGACGTAAAACAGTAATTTTTAAATCAGAGAGTTTCTTGATATTTAATCTTCTTTTTTCATTTAAAAATTTTAATTTTATAGTTTAATATAATTTAAAATATAAAATAAAAAATTTTAAAAATAAAAAATATTTTTAGTTTATTGTTGCTGGTCTAGACTTCTAGTTAGCTGATAAGAGTGGCTACTGAGCTTAAAAGTGGAGTCCGACGCGGCTCTGTGTTGGTCTTTGTCTTTTGGTAAAGACTTTAGGGAGAAAGAAAATGATGTCATTGAACGGTGGTCATCGTCATTAAGGTCGACATTTTTTTTAAATTTTTTTTAAATTAAAAAAAAGTTAAAATAATATTTTTATTTATTTATAATATTTAAAAAAATAAAAGGAACA